GTGGCCGGCATACTCACAGGAGAGGAGTAGCTACTCCTGTCCTCTGAAGATGCCGGCCACAGAGACTGGCGAGATGTTGGGAAGAACAACCTTCAGAACATAGCCAAAGAGCCTGAAGAACCCACAACAACCATGCTTATAATGTGTTGGCTAATTTCTTTTTTCATATTTTTTTAAAATTTTCTTTTCATTGCTTAGTATGTGCAGAAATATCTTGAGATTCCTTGGATTGCTAAACATGCTTTTATGAGATACCTTTTCTGCAGTGGATGTTCTTCGCTATTTTTTCAGCTGTGTGTGCCAAAGGTAATAAGATTCTGTTTCTCTCCTTCAAAGTGAGGACCGAGTTATTGAGCATTATAAGAAGCTAAACGGGCAGACCAGAGGCCAAGCCATTGTCAAGTAAGTTGGAAAGGGGGATACTATACTGTGATTACCTTTATCTCTGGAGTGTAAAATCCATTGGGTGTTGCAAATGTTAATATAATTGTTTCTCATGTTTCCTATATAGCATTTTGGTATGTGTTTTAATACAATGGTTTTCAGGAAATTCTGAAGTCCTTCTGAAGCTTATTAGAGATTCTTTAACTAAGTTATCAATATAGATAGACAAGTTTCCTTAGCTATACTGCTATTGCAACTTTTAGTATCACTGTTACGATACTTGTCTTTCCCTACAATCCAGAGTTCCAGGGAAGCATTGCATGTATTCAGATGGAGCATTGAGTTGAAGCAGGACAGCAGTGAGTCCTACCAAAAGCTAAACATGTAACCTAAAATACACTTCCCCAAAGCTTCTACAGCTTACAGGTCTGTTGTGACAGATACACTCGAGGTAATCAGTGGATATTTATTTTGCCCAAAGAGATCCCTGAAGGGCGAATGATTGAAAGCCACTGTTTTAGTGTGTGTGTTTTTCAGATTAGAAGTACTCTTCCAGATATGTCCATCTTGGTTTAGATTTAATTGGGAAACATTTGAAAAGTGGCACCCAAGTAAATAGCACATTAATTCAGAATACTCGTATATAGTATCTGTATTTCACAAAATAGGTCAAATAATGATGCTTAATGTTGCTTGAGGATCCAAATGTTATTTCTTACTGTTCCTTCTAGTAGTCCTATCTGTTCTTCTTCAGGATTAATAAAAATAAAACATGCCTTTGTGTCCCGCACAGTACTATGAGTTCTCTCCTAATGTTTAGGCTAAGAAAATATGACATCATTAGTAGCTGCATACGCTACAGTTGGTGGTTGGATTCCAATGGAACGTGTTGTTTCTGCATTCCCTTGCTGTTTAGATTTATGACATTTTAATGCTTATTTCTACAGTTACATGAGCATTGTAGAATCGCTGCCAACATATGGAGTCCACTATTACGCAGTCAAGGTATGTACCAACTGAAAAGTGTTACTAAATTTAATGACTTGCTCGGTCCTGAAAAGTAATGTTTCCTCATGAACACTTACCTGTACTTAAACTTTTATTTTGCCTCAGGTGTTAAGATGAATAAATGGCTTTAATAGTTTAATAATTCATGCACATAAAGTACATAATGGAACTGTCAAATGTAATTGTACATGCTAAAGAGTTTAACCTGCTTTAGCCAATGTTTCAGTGACATTAACTATTTTAATTGCAACATCAAATGATTGAGTTACTATTGTAAAGTGTTGCATATACTGGGATATACTGGCAATCCATGGAATAAACCTGGTATTTCAGGTTTTTATATTACATAAATAACTGCAGTTGATATTCAGGTTGTCACTCGTTGTTTGATCTGGAATATATTGAAAATATCAGGTTCTTCGTAGTGGTCTCTGTGAATGCACACAAATGGGTTATCTTGCACCTGCGCAGGAAAGTCCAGAAGATTCTAGAGCTTAAGAAAAAAGAGTCAATTAGCTCCCCCCGGCGGGGTATATAAGCCCCACCTCCTCCATCTTCCTTTCAGTTCCTCTTTTTCCGCCATTCCTGTAGGACGTAGGAAGAGCAGAGTTATCGACCATTAAGTACTTAGCTAGCTACCTTTTTCTCTTGTTTTATTATTTACTTTATCTTACTTTAACGGTTATTCGACAGAACTTGCTGATTTTAAGTTACTTCTTTTGTTCTGTCGCGTTTTTTGCCCCCTCGATCAACGATCCCCCCCTTTTTCTTTTTTGTTTATGGCCCCTCGGGGCTTCAAGCAGTGTGTTGTCTGGTCCCAAAAAATCCCTTTATCAGACGGACACGATAAATGCTTGTTTTGTCTTGAAGAATCGCATCAAGCTCAGTCTTACTCTGCCTGCAAAGGATTTTCAAAGCAAGCAATTAAGTTGAGGCGCCAAAGACTTCGAGCTTTCCTTTACGAAAAGACTCTATCTGCAAACATGGAAAGCGCCTCCCTCACAGCACTGTCCCCTCTGCATGCTGAGGCTTCTAAACAGGCCTCTTTGCCAGACCAACCGCTGCTTACCATCTCTGTGCCGGTTAAGGCTGAGGACGCTTCCAAAAGCCAAACTGCCTTCGCGCCCTGCAAAAAAGAAGGCTACCGATAAGCCTAAGAGAGCGAAGAAACTGGCTAAGTTGCCTGTTGTACCTCCTCCCGCTCCTTCGATATCGCTCGAGGAGTCTTCGAAGGAAGCAATTGGACTCTCTGATACAGAGGAGCACATTCCTTTAGCCCAGACGGCTCAGGAACATATGTGCATGCTATCAAACTCAGGTCGATTTGAGGCTGAGCCAGATGCCAGCCGGGCCGTTGCCCATTCAAGCCCTCGATACTCAGGGTGGGCTGATACCGAGTCTCCATCTGAACAGGAGTCTGATCATGAAACTCCTAGGAAGCGTACCGTGAAGTGCAAAAATATCGCTCCGTACCAGCCTCGGGATGGAGGTGATGGGTACTGTCCACAAGGACTACCAGAGTTTGGCCACTCTTTTTATGCTCCGTTCCAACCGCGTCCGCACCCAGGCTATGCCTACCAGCCAGAGCCTCAGGCACAAGTACCGTGGCACCATACCGTGGCTTCCTCTATCCTGTGTCAGCCACATACTCAACAGGACTTTTCTATGCCTCAAGCACCATCTCATAAGAGGCCATTTCCTACGGTACCTACAGCACTTCCCAAGTGTGCTAAGTACAGTGGTGGACACTCTTCGGTTCGAGCCACGACGCTTTACTCCAGCCCTGATGTCCACGATACCGTACCCTTCTCCCAGTCCACCCAATTGGATGTGGAGGTGGCACCAGAAGACACAGTACCAAGGCGTTCTCCTTCGATCGCCTTACAGTCATCTAATCCATCTACGGTGTCCACCGACTCTGACGCCTCTGATACTGCTGCCCAGGGCTCATCATCTCAGCCCTCGTCAGATGACTTCTCATCCTATGCACAGCTTATTATGCAGATGGCAAAAACTCTGCAGCTCGATGCACAAATCCCTCAACAAGAACGGGACCTTGTTTTTCATGATATGGGATAAAACTTCTCCTCCTAGCCTCAGTCTCATTCCTGCTCTGTTTGAGCTGGTAAAATCTTCTTGGGACAAACCTCCTACA